TGGGTCTCGAACCCACGGGCTCAGGCAATCCACTCACCTCGGCCTCCCAAAGTGCTGGGATTACAGGCTGAGCCACTGAGCCCGGCCTATGCAACACATTTTAATGGGCATCTATATACTGAGGCTATGGCATTGGACACACTATTCATTTTTTTCTCATTAATTTAGTTGAGGGGACAAAGTGAGAGAACAAATACATCAATATATAATATGTAAGATCTGGAGTTCTAGAAAACAGGGCAAATCCACATCTCAGTTTCTCACCTTGGAAGATGTATGTTTTTTGCTTATACTCACCTTAACATTTGGTGATGGAATTAAGAACAGGGATCTAGGCCTGCCCTGACCACTGCCAGGCAAGTTTAAAGTTAAATTTAAAAATATAAATATAAAATATAGGCTGGGTGCGGTGGTCCACGCCTATAATCCCAGCACTTTGGGAGGCCAGGGTGAGAGGATTGCCTGAGCCCATGGGTTTGAGACTAGCCTGGCCAACTTGGTGAGACCTCATTTCTACAATAAATCAAAAACTTACCCAGATGTGGTGGCACATGCTCGTAATTCCAGATACTTGGAAGGCTGAGGCGGGAGATCTCCTGAGCCCAGCAGGTCAGGGCTTTGGTCGCTGTGGGCATGCCACTGCACTTCAGCGTAGGCAACAGAGTGAGATTCCAACTCAAAATAAAATAAAATAAAATATAGAAGTAAAAAGTATTAAGGCTGGGCATGGTGGCTCATGCCTGTAATCCCAGCACTTTGGGAGGCCGAGGCAGGAGGATCGTTTGATCCCAGCCCAGGAGAATAGTGAGAGCTTGCCTCAATGAAAACAAACAAATTTTTTAAAAAAGGAACATTCACTGCAGCTTTATTTACAATAGCCAAAAAGTAGAAATAACTCAAATGCCCACTGCCTAACTTATGTCTAAAAAAAATGTGGTATAGACATACAATGAAATATCAGCCTTAAAAAGGGTGAAGTACTGATGCATGGTACAATGTGAATGAGCCTTGAAATCAGTGAAAGAGAACAGGCACAAAAGACCACATCTTGTCCAAAGCAGACAGATCTGTAGAGACAGAAGGAAGACTCGCAGTTGCGGGGTTGGGGGTGGCACCGGAGTGGGGAGAGGATGGAGAGTGACGGCTGACGGGGTTTTTTTCTGGGTGATGAAACTAGGCAGTGATGGTTGCACAACATTGTGAGTACACTAAGAGCCACTGAGCCGTACGTTTTAACGTGTGAGTGGTGCGTGGGGTGTGACTGATCTCAGGGAAGCCGGCAAAGAGTATTACCTTCTGTCTGAGGGTTGAGGGTCTTAGGAAGATGAAATGTTCTCTGGGACACAGAAGGAAAAAGATGAACGGAAATAACATGCAGAAAGCACTGACAGCCCAGTGCCCAAGACATGGTATGCAGCTGGCTGATGGTGGTTACTGCTCTTAATGAAAGTAATCCTACTGGAACTTGCATTTATTCACTGCTACATCTCTAGACTGTAACCCGCTACATGGCATGCCTTGTTGGGAGGGGAGTTTGAACGTGGCTGTCTTGTGCTCCGCTTCTTTGGGTGTGTGATTTGAGCTTCTTGTCCAGTGGTAGTGACTGTGTGCCAGGGAGGTCTTCCCAGCCCATATTTCAGTGCTTAAGTTGGGGAGGGGGTACAGACTCAGGCTGGAAAGCAAAGGCTCTGCCTCAATTCAAGAGGAAAGTGGGGTCAGCATGATTCATGAGCTTTTTTTTCCAGTAGGACTACTTAATGGGCCTGTCGAGAATGTGGGTTCTTCTTTTTCTTATTTTGAGTCCCCGGAGAGCAGAGAACTTCAGTTTTGTTAAAAAATAATAATAATAATTCAGGCCGGGCACGGTGACTCACGCCTGTAATCCAGCACTTTGGGAGACAGAGGCAAGAAGATTGCCAGAGCCCAGGGGTTCAAGACCAGCCTGGGCAACTTGGTAAAACCGCATCTTTACAATAAATCAAAAAAACTGGGTGGGCATGTTGGCACACGCTTGTGGTTCCAGCTACTTGGAAGGCTGAGGTGGAAGGGTCACTCGAGCCCAGCAGGTCAGGGCTGGAGTGGCAGTGAGCGTGCTACTGCACTCCAACCTGGGTGACAGAGTGAGATTCTGACCCTCCCCCCAAAAAAAAATTCGGCCAGTTGCAGTGACTCATGCCTGTAATCCAGCACTTTGAGAGGCAGAGGTGAGAGGATTGCCTGAGTACAGGGGTTGGAGACCAGCCTGGGCCACTTGGTGACACCCGGTCTCTACAGTAAATCAGAAAATTAACTGGGTGTGGTGGCATATGCCAGTGGTTTCAGCTGCTTTGAAGGCTGAGGCGGAAGGATTGCCTGGACCCAGCATGTTGAGGCTGTGGTGGCCATGAGCGTGCCATTACCCTCCAGCCTGGGCAACAGAGGGAGACGCCAGCTCGAAAAACAAACCTGTGGGCTCAGGCAATCCTTTCATCTCCACCTCCCAAAGTGCTGGGACTATAGGTGTAAGCCACCACGCCCAGGCCTCTCTTTGCCTGGTCTGAGATTAGGTACCCTTGTCAATGTTGTTTCCCATCCCCTGGGCTTCCCTGCCTTCCCAGCAGTATCCCGCTCCTGCCAATCCCTTTCTCATAGTATTATGGTAAATGTTCAGGGTCCACTTATGAGTGAGAACATGCGGTACTCTGATCTTTGTTTCTGTGATAGATCACTGAGTATTATAGACTCTGAATCCATTCATTGCTGCGAAGTTTTGTTTGTTTTTTTAAATTCACATCCTTTTGTGAATCTGGCTCCACTAACATGCTGGGTTGCTTTTACCGCCGTGTCAGGGTGAAATGGCCTTACACTGAGGCGTCTGAAGGGAGATAAGCCTATTGTTGGTATCATGCCCCATCCTTTTTGGAAGATCTGTGGAGTTGGCCTCCGTGAGGAATGGCCGTGCTTCTCCTCTGCCTCATGTCTCCTCTGTACTGTGTGGTGATCACGGTCCTTGCTACCAGAAGCTGCAGGGAACCTCCATCCACAGTTTGGGGCTCCCCTCTGGGAAGCATCCAGACCCTCTTTCTCAGCCTTCTGTGAACTGCCCTCCTTCCCTCTCCACTCCAACTTTATTTCATACTCTTCCCCAATTCGTACATTTTTTTCTTCCTTTTTTATTTGGCTGTCCATATCTTCAAGAGCTGCTTTTATGATTTCTTGGGGGGAGACACATGGGTTAAATAAGCCACAGGGCCAGCCTTATTGAAGCCAGTACTTTAGAAACTAAAAATGCCTACCTACAGTTTTCCCTCCACACCAGGAAGGATGAGCAAGGGAGGCAAAACTGTCAGAAAAGAGTCTGTAAGTAGCCAGGCATGGTGGCTCACACCTGTAATCCCAGCACTTTGGGAAGCAGAGACAAGAGGAATGCCTGAGCCCAGGGATTCCAGACTAGCCTGGGCAACTTGGTGAGGCCTTGCCTCTACAATAAATCAAAAAATTAGCCAGGCATGACGGTACTTGCCTATAGTTCCAGCTACTTGGAAGGCTGAGGCGGAAGGATCGCCTGAGTCCAGTAGGTCGAGGCTGCCGTGGCAGTGAGCGTGCCACAGTATGGGTGACAGAGTGACACTCCGACTCACACACACTAAAAAGTTCATAAGCTTTTTTTTCCCCTTGGAAGCTTTCTCGAGCGTCTCTCCTTTTCTTCTTTTTAATAGAAGTTGGCGGCATGGCAAAGCAGTACATAGAGAAAGGCCTTTTGGTTCCAGACCATGTGATCACGCGCCTGATGATGTCGGAGCTGGAGAACAGGCGAGGCCAGCACTGGCTCTTGGACGGTGAGTTGACCCTGTGGGGGGACTGGCTGACTGCGAATGGCCGGTCACGGTCTCCTTGCAAACGCCTGTCCTCACACCTGGGAAAGTGGCTTTCTCCCTAAGCTTTCTGTCATTTGTTTGACACTCCAGTCTGGCAACGTGCCAGAAGCCCACTGTGGTGAAGCCCATTCGTTCTTCTGTCTCTGGATCACCATCCTGAGAAGCACGGACTTCACTGTGCACCTGTCAGTGCTTCAGTTTCAGCGGCGCCTTCTGTTTCCGTGCCTAAGTCACCCTAAATGTAACTGATTTTTGGTCAGAAGTTCTTTCATTCACCAGAGGCCACGCAAAATAATCAGTTGTAGTTTTTCGCCTGTCAGATTAATAGAATGTCTGAAAACCCTTTGTGGAGTGTATATAATATTGTTGAGGATATAAAATGGGCAAACTTTGGAGAACAGTTTATGTATTAACATATGTAGTTATATGTATAAAGTATATTTGCATACTTTTTTTTTTTTTTGAGTTGGAGTCTCACTCTGTCGCCCAGGCTGGAGTGCGGCCACTGCACTCCAGTCTGGGTGACAGAGTAAGACTCCAACTCAAAAAAAAAAAA